TCTTGACAAAATGAATAGCTCTTTCAAAGACGTTAAATTTCCACTGTCTACTGGTTCCAAGTTATATGGAGTTAAAGAAAAAAATGTCGAAAATATGGTTTTTTTTCTGTTTTGGTTTTTTTGCTTACAGCTTTATAATGTTATATTTTTCTCTTATGCAAATACATTTAATAAATAGCTTTTGTGAAGAAACATACTGGATTAAGCCTCAAATTTCAAAGACATTGTTGAAAAAACGAGAAAAAAACACAATTTTGACATTTTCAGCAAAAATTAAGCAATACTCGATAAACAAAATATCAAAATTTGAGAGAGGTATATTTTGGTGTTTTTTTTTTAGATTTCTTCATTTTAGTGGAACATGATTTTTTTCTAGAACTTTTTTTAATGCATTGAATTTGTGTTTCGAAGACTTCACGACTTTGTCAAAGTTGGTTATCTTGATAAAATAAACAACTTTTCTTAATACGTTAAAACTTCACAGCCTACTGTTTTCGAGTTATGTGAAATAACAGAAAAAATGTGAAAATAAGTGTTTTAATTTTAAATATATTGTTTAAATGAATATACCTCGAAAACAGTAGGCTGTGAAGTTTTAACGTATTAAGAAAAGTTGTTTATTTTATCAAGATAACCAACTTTGACAAAGTCGTGAAGTCTTCGAAACACAAATTCAATGCATTAAAAAAAGTTCTAGAAAAAAATCATGTTCCACTAAAATGAAGAAATCTAAAATAAAAACACCAAAATATACCTCTCTCAAATTTTGATATTTTGTTTATCGAGTATTGCTTAATTTTTGCTGAAAATGTCAGATATTAATGTTCAAAAATTGTGTTTTTTTCTCGTTTTTTCAACAATATCTTTGAAATTTGAAGCTTAATCCAGTATGTTTCTTCACAAAAGTTATTTATTTAATATATTTGCATAAGAGAAAAATATAACATTATAAAGCTAGGGGAATTTACGTATTCTCGTCAATCTAAGCAGCGTCTGCACTTCTACTACCATTTTCTCAGCGTCACGCACATATATGATGTGTCTGTTTGTATACATTCATCTGCTGCTTGCTTCTCTATCCATTCCAATCGACAGAATTTTTCAAAACGTTTTGAAAGCGTTTTTACAACGCTCCAAACTTCTCAGGTGAGTGTGACTATTGTCGGCAGTCTCTTTTTCTTCGGCAACCTTCCCATTAGAACTGCGTGTTAACCAGCTGTTCTATTATCGGCAACTCGAAATCAACCTCATTTTGTAGAGCGTATGCTTTATTTGAAGAAAAATGTAGCATTACTGGATTGCTCGATCGTTCAAATATAATCAGATTGAAGCTGAAAGGCTAAACAATCGTTTGGACACATTCAGGGAAGTGCGTTGATGGGAAAACATAGTGAAATTAACGTTTAAATTTTGGTTGCCGAAAACAGTCAATGGGTGCCGAAGCCAACATTTACCCTATATGCAAAAAAACCAAAACAGAAAAAAAACCATATTTTCGAATTTTTTTTTTTAATTCCATATAACTTGGAACCAGTAGACTGTGGAAATTTGACGTCTTTGAAAGAGCTGTTCATTTTGTCAAGATAAACAACTTTGCCGAAGACATCAAGTTTCCAAAACGTCAGGGAAAGAAGTTAGATTGTGACACCATCTTTGCGGAAGAGTTTTGAACTATTTGTTTATGTCAATAGATGGTCCTTATTATGACGAGAAATTTTGCCAAAGACACCAAGTCGCGGAAATGCTTCGTTTCGGAGTTATTAATTTTGCTCCGCTAGGTTGCATTCCTGGCCCAGTGTGCATGGGATGAAAGCAGAACAGAAAAGCATAATGCATGATTTTATTACGAGAACTATTTTTTTTACAAGAGCAATTCAAGCTGAACTTTGCATTAGGTCCTAAGTAACATTGATCGATTCTCTTCGTCGACTTTCTCTTTCGTTAATTACTTATTCACAGAACCGTTTCTTGATGTGTTTGTCGTATTGGATGCTAGATAAAAGCTTCTTTTATCGATTTATGTGCTGAAAATACCTGGGAATGTCTTTACATGACCGTGGGGATGCAAAGAGAAAGTTGACGAAGCGAATCTGTCAATATTACTTAGGACCTAATGCAATGTTCAGCTTGAATTCATTTTTTTATTTGAGGGCAAATGTATATTCCTATTCTACGGGTGCAACCGATGAATTTTATAAACATTTAGAAAAGTTTTGAATGGTACATTAGCCTTTATGAAAAGTTATGCGTGATTTCAACCTTTTTGCCCTAGGACTGTCACCATTCCATGTATTTCGACCAAGATTCGACCGTGTCACCCCATGTATATGCGAGCGAGAACGGAAGAATCATGGAGATTGCTGACGTATACGTATGCACGAAATGTTTTCATGCTCATGCTAACAATTTTGTTGATTTTCTTTGCGCTCCGCTTGGAAGTACCGGAAAGTTTTTATTTTTTTCTATGTTGTAAAAATAAACCACCTATTTACATTTCTGACAAGTTGCAACTGAATGCTTATAATTGTTTTAAAATAACTGTTTCATGGCCAACTAGTTTTATTGCGCTTACTTATAAAGCAACGAAAGGATTTATTTTTTGGTTTTATAAGGGCAATTCATATTACTTTATTGTATACTTCAAAGCAATCATAAAACCTTTCATAAGTGAAAATAGCATAAGCATCAGTTGGTTTTTTTAATTAGCTTTATAGGGGTTTTGTAGATAGCTATAAGAATGTTTCATGACTTGCATTGTATATGACCGTGATAAAGCTGTAGGTAATGGTTGCAGCTGCAATAAAACCTTTATAAATTTTGAATATAGCCAAGCAGCTCTAGATTTGTTACTTGGGCAATGTCCTTTGAAAATTCTGGATAAACTGCAAAATAATGGCGGTTGCGATCTTCTTCTGCAAGTTTTGAAATCCATTGGATCCTCCCTGAAAGCCCCGGAACCTGTTCATAATGTACTAAAAATTAGTTCTGGAAATTTCCTAAGTATATTAAAGTAAATCATTGGACCTATGCAAAAAATTTCCAGAATTTATGTTCCAACCAAGGAATTGATTGATCCTAAAACGGATAGTTCGAAACAGTGTTGGCTAAAATCAAGATCAGAAAATAAAAATCAGCTATCTTTCAAGATTCATCTCACCTAAAATCACAGGCACTAATATCACAAGCCATCATCACCACGTAAATCACACGTGATTTTCGACCAATTGTTTTCTAATTTATTTGATAAGGCTCAATCGAATTAACTTTACAGAGCCGAGGATTCATATTCACTATACAATACATCTTTAAACTATAGTCAAAAGGTACAACACAACAAACACTTTATCTCCCGCTATCCTCCATCAGAACGGGAGCAGCTTTCACTGTTTTCATTGTATGGCAGTATCGCCAACGGGGGGCAGAGTACTTCCATTGCAGCAATGGACGCAAAACGTGGTCATCACTCACACACTTATCACTAAACTGTTACTTTCCAAAGTCGACGATGCATCGACCGAAAGAACCGCTGATGAAGAACAATGAGTCGGACCACACAATAGCTGCTGCCGAATAAACAGACGATCGCGAGACACACGTTGAGAGTGGTCTGCTTCTGTCGATAGCCGAGTGAACACTGTTTTTCGACCAATATCAGCCGTGATTTTCGATTCCCAAAATCAACCAGCATCAATATCAACCAAGATCAAATTCATGAAAAATCATTAGAAGATATGTTAAATTCTAGAGTTTGGTACATTTCGAAATGCATGTCAAAATTTCGGATGGAATTAAAATGGTGGATTTTAGCCCAAGATGGCTTCGACAAATCCAAGATGGCGGACCAAAATCCAATATGGCGGCCTCCAGACAGCGTATATGCATTTAAACACATGCAATATGGGTATCTATGGAATGTGCTCAATGAGTAGAAGTGGAAAATTGACATCCACTGCCATTTTGGAATCCAAGATGTTGGACCAAAACCCAATATGGCGGCCCCTAGACAGGGAATATGCATCTAAACCCATACAATATGAGTATCTGTGAACTGTGCTCGATTAGTGGAAGTGGAAAAATGACATCCGCCCCCATTTTTGAATTCAAGATGGTAGACCAAGATCCAATATGGCGCAATATGGATTCCAAAATGGCGGTGGATGTCGGTTTTTTACTTCGACTGTAATACCAAGCTATTGATTTTCCGTTTGGATATTTTGTTACCTCAAAATCAGCTAAGGTTGAAATCAGCCTTGATTTTCTGCTGTGTGATTTGCTACGCTCAAGATCAGCTAAGATAAAATCAGCCGTGATTTTCTGTTTGTGATTTTGCTGATTTTAAGATCAGCAGTGATTTTCGAACGTTCCTGATTTTGATTTATTTTTTTATTTTTTCCATCACTGGTTCGAAAAATGGAACACTTCTGTGCATGTACCAAGACTAATGATGTTTTTCAAATGAATAATATTTTGAACTCTGAAAAATGGTGGCCTTGAGCATTTAGTCTGTGAGGTTGGGTCTTCAAACAGTGCATCAATAAATTGAGCGTACGCGGCAAATAATCTGACTTATATTTGAGTCGCGGTCGATCAAATTCGAAAAAAAAAATTTAGGTCTCTCATGGAATGACGAAATTTTTACTCAATATGAGTAAATGTCACTGAAATATGAGTGACATTCACTTATATTTCAGAAAAAAATACTCATTCTATGAGTGACCTACGCTTTTTCGAATCTGGGAGACGTCAGATTAATTTGCCGTGTACAGTATTGCCAGGCGGCGGACATTGCCTGTGACGAATACATTGTCAGCTTTTCTGCATTTATTATATCATTGTGCCCAATTAATGAATGCATAAATGTCACCGCCTTGAAAAGTAGTCAGTTTAAAACTGCGTGTCAGCACTCAAAGAACGCTTAGTCGAGGGCAGGCAGAAGGTTCTAGTAGAAACAGATAATTCATAATGGAACATTTTAAAACCAATCATTCATCCATACTCACATCTCCTTCTCCGGCAGGTTCAGCGTGATCGAACCCTTCGAGTCCGCTCCGTAGTTCAGATAGCCGAAGAAGCCCATGCCGATGTACAGCGTCACGATGAGCACCATGGCCTTGTTCAGCACACCGAAGTTTCCGCCGAACTGCTTCGGCTTTTTCATCTCATTCTCGAGTGGCAGGATCTATCATAGTTGAGAGGATGTCAATTAAAACGATCGGTTGGTGCTCTAGGATCACCAAATACTCACCACACCGATGGCCTCCAGGGCGAACAGCACCGTACCGAAGAATAGCGGGAACTCGGAAATTTTACCGACCGCCTCTCGACCCTCGAACGAAACCGGCTCGCGGAAGATGTAGTAGAGGATGATGCCGAACGACACCAGCGTGATTAAATTAGCGATCGTCGAGAAGGGTGCCAAGAATTTCAAATTTCTAACCTGGCGTTGTTCGGAGGGAGAGGGAATAAAAATTAAACAAACAAAGTTAATCTCATCTCCCGGTGTGCATGTGTGAGCTGCTCGTCGCCAAGAGGTGCATGCAATTTTAGGATTATAATAATGAAGACGCGGAAAACTATGCAGCTATTTTTGAACAGACTTCTTCGACAGTACGCAGGGTTGTAGTCTCAGTGTGGACGACGCATTGTTCTTCACCACATGCAAATCGTGGATGCTATTTCTAGAACACAGTGTACACTTACCCAGTTGATCAAGATCAATGGCAGCAGGATGATCAGCATAAACAACCGCACGTCGGTGGGAGTCTCGGTGTAGTAGTCGGCAATAGCCTTAATGTTGGATGCAACAAACACTACGTACACACAGCACGTGCCCAGCTGATAGATGAGTAAGAAAGTGTTGATAATGTGGCTAAGGGAGGGTGTTGTGAATTCAATTGTATTTTTCACGAGCGTATTTTCACACATTTACGACGCAGCGATTGCCGAGCGGGAAGGGGATAGAGAAAATATTTCCGATTAATAAATTGTGATCGATCGCTCACAGCAAGTGACTCGATACGAGTATGAGGTGGAAGTGGAGTGTGATTGATGACAGAACAGCACAGCAGTGTTGCGCGTTCTCTGAAAATGAGATGAGTCTAATGATGATCGGAGTATTCAGCGTTGTCCAAACCAACTTACATTATCACATTAGATAATGGTTTCAGCGCATCGGGTCCCTCCAGGATGGCTGTCTGTGTCACCGCTGGGTAGTTGAGACTAGGAACTCGTTTCCGCCGGCACAGTTCGAACTCGGCTTTGATCAGCAGGTGAATACAGTACGTACACAGGATACCAATCAGCAGGGTACCGATGGAACCGACCAACCAACCGGCATGGTGGAAGGCATTCGGCATCGCCAGAATACCCGTGCCCAGGGACCCTTTCAGCAGGTGGATCAACGTTTCATTGCTCGACGTTGGGTGTTCCACGCTTCGGTGCTCGTACGGGTTGTAGTCCGCTTCGAGGCCATGCTTCTTGTCCTGTACCTCGAGCACATAGCTGTTGGCGCTGATGGTTTTCGTTGTGATTGGTTTTTTGCTACAATGTAAAAGGATCAAGTTTTAGAGGTATATAGATCTCCAATATGTATGGTACCCTGCTTACCCGGTTATTTGCTCGTCTCCCACGAACGCCGTATTACTATGACCTTTGTCCACTGTCATCGTAGATTACGCTTATCTGCAATGAAAGTAGGGGAAACAAAATAAACAATCAGTCATTTCACCTCACTTTTCAACTGTATAAAGCAGCTTATTCTTTGGGATTTCCCCGGCTCGTTTACGACCAGTGGTGACATCAATTTGCAAATTAATTTACATTCACCAAACCTGAATGCCAAAAGCTCCCACCATTTCACATGTAGGAACCAGCAGCAGCAGCAGCAGCACGGCTTTGCGAATGGAGTTTGTTCATCGTTTGCAATACCAATCACGTTAAAAAAAAAACTGCAACCATTAACAGCACGGATCGCATGTATGGTTTTTACGATCTGGTCGAGGAGATTTAACGATTGGTCTTACGATTAACCACGCGCCATATAACCGAAAGCTACCATAATACAACCTCGTGCACCGTAGTAAGGTGAGGAGCCCCTTCAAACTATCCGGAAAAAACCCAGTTTGATAATAATGGCGAACGGTATCACTTTTCTGAAGGAATGAAGTCTCTTTTTTAATTACAAGGATATGCTTGGAAGTGTTAGCCTGATAAAAATTTCCTAATCAATTACTGGGGGGTCTAAACAAGGTACAAAAAGAACCTTGTGTTGAATTTAAGTGTCAACCTAAGTACAGCACTGATGGGTATGCCAAGCCATCAACTGTCAAGAAGATGTTTGCAAACAGAGATTCGCAACCTTCTGATCGAAAAAGCCGTTGTCCACCCGTATACGAAGCAAAAACCTTTTTTTTTCTCTGGTAAAGTGCTACTAAGCCAGTGGGCAACAAAACCGAAGAAAAAAAAAATCATGCCACCAAATTAAAGGCTATAAACCTGGCCGGGTCAGTTGGGTACAAACCCAAAACCAGTCAGTGGAAATTGATTCGTTTCTTTTTGCGTTGAATTTAATTTCCATTGGATGAAATCATATATTGTTCACACAAAAGAGATCAAGTTTATTCAAAAACGAAAGTTGATCAGTTTCCAATCAAATTTATACGTCGATGAAAAATGTGAATTTAAGCCACTCATAAACTTTAAAACTGATAGTTTTCCTTAGTCCGAAACACGGACTGGCAGTGAGCCACGGAGGCTTGTCTCAATTAGCGTTGCATAAAGCCTTTCCAGTTGCAATATCCTGCGGTGATGTGGCATCAACGGCGTCGGTGACGACGACCTACCAGCATTGAAAGCAGTAAATCGTTGTCCTTGTTCGGTGTTGACAGCATTGTTCGCTGTAAATTTCTTACACTTATACCAACATTCATTCTGCTGAAGGTGGTTTGGTATCGTCTCCTTTGTACGTTCTTCACGACGAAAGGTCTTGAAATCAATTGGAAATAAATGGAGGGAGCGTTTTGTCTTACGACTGTTATTTGTATCCGTGGCTAATGCATATGCATAATATATAATTTATTAATACAGAACACCAACAGGCAACATTGGTCCTAATGATGTTTAAACTATCGTACTTAAAGAACAGTCGATTTTGGTAAAATACACTCACAAAAAATAATCGTCATACACAAATACATTTACATAATAATTAATCGTCTAAACTAGAGAAAATAACCGAAAACTTTCGGCGTATCGTTTGTCGGGATAGGTGAACATCTAAAACGGAAGCTACCTTGTTGAACACTCGTTGTGCACCGATCAAAGCACTATGTTGTCCGTAATTTGATCATTGGAAAGTTAGCCTCAGCATCGCAGGGACGAACGTTCAAGTCAACTGACTCAAACATAGCAGGGCTGTCGATTCTTCCCTGCAATGTGTCCGCTACAAACATAGTCCTAGCGATGTTCCTGCGAATTAATTCCAAATGAATTAACTGACATCGACTTCTGTAACTCGCCAAGAAAGCCAACGGAGAACACAACGAATGAAGCGGCGTTGAACAGATTCAATCCTCTCCGAACCGTTACCATAGTACGGATATCCGCACCGCCGTGTCCTAAGTGGCGGATTAATCAACTTTCATGTACCTCGGGTTTTTCTTCACCAAAAGTAAGTTTGGGTGCTTACATTTAAAAATCGGTTAGTTTTAAATATTCTATCGGGGGAAAATTGAATAAACTTGATTTGAAATTTCTGATTTTTTTTTTCCGTTTCTATAGATTTCATGGAGACGCAATTCACTTTATAATTTAGGCATATGTTTATAAGTTAAATTTTATACATTCATATGTATCTTAGAACAATTATTTTTCATTTGCTTTTTTAATTTTTGTTTTTATTTACGTCATACACGAAACGTGACGTCTATTCTCAACTTTGTGGTTTTAGCACTTGCACAGTTGTACGATTTTTGCATTCGTAGAGTTAGACAAATATAGTGATACTCTATGACAAGGGAAGTCTTCTAACTAAATAGCCACGGTTTTACCAACAATCAATACGAAACTAACGATTTTAAATTGGCTCACCACTTTAGTAGCCTATTGGTCCCAAGCAAACGATTAACGTACCCTATTCTAGTTGAAATTCTATTACTACACTATGTTTGTTTTGATTCGCTATGAAAGTTTGACAGATAACATCAGGGGTGTGTGGATTCATGCAGAACATGCAGGGGTGAGTGAAATAGCTTGGGACTGCTTGGAACCGTTGTTCTGGTACTGAGTGAGCCAAAAATAATAATGATTTTCTTCGGGACCCAGTGGTCTTAGAGTTACCTCTATGGTTTTACTGTCGACAATCATAAAAAAAATACATGTATTTAATTTTTGATTGTTTATTATATCGAACATTTGATTTCATTTAAATGATGTAAATTGTTTATACAGGTGCTGCGAACAAAGTTTAATTCAATTCATAATTGTTAGGAAAGCTTCATTCCTAGATTGGTCTCAAATGTGGCTACTATTGTATGCGATGACTGCCTCAAGCAGATTTCGTTGATAGCTGTTGTGGCTTTCAGGAACTTTATAGTTCATCCATGTTTTGGCGAAATCATGGTGAATTGCTTCGATTGTCTGTTCTGAATATCGTCCAAGTCCTTTGTTTGCATTACTGCAAAATCCAGTTACGTTGAATCTAATGATGTGAAACTTCGGAGTTGTTGGAAGTCTTAAAGCTTCCCAACTTTCACAAAATTCGTCGATAGATTGACGATACCCATCAATAAGTTCCATGCCAAAACATTTTTCAATAACCGAGCCAAGATTTTGCATCTTAAGGGCATATTATTTTAGACCAGCATCAAGTAAAACTTCTTTTTTGGTTAGTAAAGCACGACAATGTCTTCCAGCAAAACCAAATTGCACATGCCGAGTTGCATTTGCAGCCTTAGCCCATAATTCTGCAATGCTTGGATAGTTTTTAGCTATGTTTGTCGTAGGCACTGTTCATTAGACCCAAAAACAAGTGCAATGATCGCGGTGGACATACATCCAATACTTTCGTGCAGTCATTACCGCAAAATAAAGGTTTGTTTACACAATTGAAGAAGTCTCTAGCTTTCTTCTCCTTTCCACCTGATGCCATACAACGTTCTGCAAATTGCTTTATCGAACCAAGCGATCGTGGTTCACCTGTGGTAGTAGCTAGATCTTTCTTATGCACCGTGCAATATGCACATGGATCAGTCGCACTATTGCCCATTACACCAGTGTGTTGGTTACTTTTAGATCACCTGAAAATATAATTATTTATCAGTATCATAAAAAAATTGGCAATGATGTTACATTTAATCTTCAAGCGAAGTCAAATTTAGATGTCCCCAAAATTTAGATAAGTTTCCATAATTTTCTTGTATACCAGGAGCAAGAGCAAGGATCAGGGCGAACCCCTGAGCCCTTGAATCCTTGTTTGCATTGCTCCCTCTGCTTATCTTAAACACACAATACTATTTTAATTCAAGGGTCAATTAAAATAGTATTGTGTGTTGAAGAGCATCAATTCCTATCTTCAGAATACAATCATCCACATTTCTTCTAGCCTTAATGTATTGGATAAGACCTTCAACGCTGTTACACATAACAACGGGACGTTTTTCGGCAAGATAAGATTTCCCTTTGGTGGAATTTGAAGAAATCTTCAAGCTCACTCATTCGGTTCTGAAGTTGTTGAATTGCCTTACGGTTTTGAGACGAATGTTACGTGCCAGCTTCAGGAACCAACATAGGTTAACAAGTATCTAGTATTAATTTCTGTACAACATACCTTGCGCGTGCTAAAATCCAGGTCAGCTTTCCAATTAAACACATCCTCATGAGAAATTGGCACCGTGTTAACCTTGATACAACTAGGTTTTCCCCTTTGGTTGGTCTTTTGATAATTTCTCTCGTGTAGCCGTTGAAACCAAATGATCTTGGCTTCCTTCCGCCCTAACCGAAAGATTTTGAAGCTTAGTGTACTTGTTGCATTTATCTGGTTTTCCAAGATGAACTTGTGTCAAGCAAACATTACAAATTTTAGAGCTAAATTAAGTAATATGCAAAATATTCAAGTCATTTTTTTCAAATTTTTCTTCGACAGATTATTTTCAATCCAACCGATTTTAAAATTTAAGCATCGAAACTAACATTTGGTGAAGAAAATCCGAGGTATATGAAAGTAGATTAATCCATCTCTCCACAAAGTACATTGCGCATTCATGCAAAACCTACTATAAAAACGGTAAAAAAATTCAAAATTTAAAATCAAGATTTTTCAAATTTCCCCCGATTGAATATTTTAAAACCAATCGATTTTTAAATTTAAGCACCCAAACTTACTTTTAATCTATTGGAAGCAGTAACATCAGGAAGTGTATCTACGTAACTTGTAAGAGGTGGAAGCTCAATCGTTCCCAAAAAGTTTTCCTTCTTCCGGATGATGCGATGAAATTCAAGTGCGCTAGCTTGGAATTTTTGGAACAGTTAACCCTATCGCCGAATGAAATCGTTGCTTTGGCTCGGAACCCTAGCAAAGTCTGAGATAAAATTGAAATCTAAATATGATGTTGTGATTTCACTGATAATGATTACTCAGGTTGCTGTCGTTTTGGTCGTTTTAACGGTTAAAATATCACATTTGA